TTTTTTTTTTTTTTTTTTAAATCCATTCTTCTCTTATGGATGTTTCGGTTGTTTCCCATTTTTCAGCTATTATGAAGAAAGTTGCTGTGAACATTCTTGTACATAGCAAAATTTGTTCGTATTATTATACACATGTAGATAATAATATTTATCTATTTATACATGATACTAATTTCTAGCAGTTATTTATTTATTCTGAACATGAGTTCTCTGTTAGATATATGCTTTGTACTCTGAATTTCAATTTTACATGAAATTTCACCTTAGAGATTTTTTTGCTTAGCCTCTTCAGAGACTAAATTTAAAGCAGAAGGAGTGACTTGATTTATAAAGGCCAAAAACATTAATTTGGCAAAGAAATCTGATGAATGTCTTTCTCATCATCTTTTTTTAATTGTCAAGCCTATCTTCTGAGAAATATGTGTAGGACTTTTTCCATATACTCCTTGTAATTCAGGCACAAATGACCTTTCAGTAATATAAAATATATAGGTGCATATATTTTTAAGGTGGTTCTTATTTCTAAAAGCAATGGAATTAGTTTGGAGGCACTCTTTCGTCTCCCTGTTTTCCTTTTTAAAGTTGAAGTTTTTAGATTTTTTATCTCAGTAGGGATCTAAGAGGGAAATAGTATAGCAATAATAATAGCTATCTTTTTTTTGAGTACTTACTATGTGTCACTGTGCTAAGCACTTTATATCCATTATCTCATTAATCCTAAGAAAACCCTTTGAGGTGGTAATTATCATTTCTATTTTAGAAATGACGAGATGGGCTCAATGAGGGTTAATAATTTGGTTATGACCACCCAGCTAGTAAGTAAATAAATGGTAGAGGCATGATTTGAACTCTGGACTGATTCCAAAGCTGGTTCTTTTCCGTTAGTCTACTTGTCCATCCTTGTACTTAAAATTTTTTTATACTGATACATACTCAGATAAAATTTCATGTAAGTGCATAAATGTGATTATATACTCACTAATCTTTTTATGTATTTATTTTGTTTGTTTTTAAGCATAGTCTTATTCAACCATTCTATTGGTGGGCATTCACTCTGTTTCCGGTTTTTAGCCTCTGGACACTGCTTTGGTAAACGTTCCTATACATGTGTTGTTCTTATGGCACTGGTAGTTTTAGTTTTATGAAACAGAGGCTCAGGAGCATGGTTGCTTGATAAGAGAGTAACTTTTTTTTTTAATTGGTTATTTTTTATATTTAATTTAGTTATGTATCGTTTGCTTCCCTAAAAGACTGTAACAATTAACAGTTTCAGGAGCAGTTGAGGGAAGTACCTCTTGGCCCATACAGCCAATATTAGTTATCACTGTATTTACCTTTTTATTTAAGTGATGCCAGAGTATCTTTAATTCATAGTTCCCTGACTACCAGTAAATTTGAGTGATTTGCTCTTCAGTGAATTACCTCTTCATATCTTTTGTGCATTTTTTATTAAGTTTTTTTAAGATGTCACTTTCTAAGCATTCTTTATATATTATGTACATTAATCCTTTGTATCTGTGTTATAGATATCTGTCATGGTTTGAATTATGTCCCCCAAAAAATATGTCTATCAGTTTGGCTGGGCCATGATACCCAGAATTGTGTGGTTGGCCTCCATTTTGTGACTGTAATTTTATGTTAAAGAGGATTAGGGTGGGAGTGTTAACACCACCTCTACCCAGGTCATACCCCTGATCTAATGTAAAGGGAGTTTCCCTGGGGTGTGGCCTGTACCACCTTTTATCTCTCAAGAGATAAAAGGAAAGGGAAGTGAGCAGAGAGTTGGGGACCTCATACCATCAAGAAAGCAGTGCCAGGAGCAGAGCGTGTCCTTTGGAACCGGGGTTCCTGCGCAGAGACGCTCCTAATCCGGGGAACACTGAAGAGAAGAAGGCCGACAGAGAGAAAAAGCCTTCCCCCAGAGCTGACACCCTGAATTTGGACTTTTAGCCTACTTTGACTGTGAGGAAATAAACTTCTCTTCATTAAAACCATCCACTTGTGGTATTTCTGTTATAGCAGCACTAGATGACTAAGACAATATCTTTTCTAAAACTAAAATTGTATTGTATGGTGTCATACCATACAAAAAGTTTAACTTTTATGTAAAAAATTACGTCTCGGCTAAGGTCTCTCTACCTCTACATTTTGAAATGTAGTTTCCAAGATTTTCTTGCAAGATTTTTATTGTATGTATTTTATTTTTTAAGTCTTTCATCCATCTGGAATTTATTTTTGTACAAGGCGTAAGAAAGTGGTCCAATTTTACTTTTTTCCAGATAGATAACCAGTTGCGATAGTGCCATTTTCATACTAAATAGAACTACCATCTTTGTCATATCTTAAATTCTCATGTATACTGCATTGATTTCTAGATTGCCTGTTTTGTTCATTGATCTGTATTCCTAGACAGATGCTGTACAGAGGCTTTGAGTTGTAGTATCTGGTAAAACATGCCTTGTCTCACTGTTTCCTATTTCATGCTTTCCTGGACTATTCTTGAAAATTTAATCTTCCGTATAAACCTTATGATCATTTTATCCCATCTCCCCATCACCCTATAAAGTTATGTAGGAATCTAATTAGAATTATATTTAATTTACATGTTAATTTCTAGGATACAGTTTACATTTTTATAGTATCTTCACATCTGAGAATATAGTATGTCTTTCTATTTTTTCAGATCTTATTTTATGTCTATTAAAAAGACTTCAGAGTTGCTTTCATATAGGTTCTGTGCCTTTTTTATATTTATTCCTACAAATTATCTTAGCGTGGTCTCATTATGGCAAATGGGATATTCAATAGAGAAAAGTCATTGATTTTTTTTTTAAATCCTCTTTCCATCTACCTCTTAATATTTTGATTAATCCTCATAATACTACAGTACTAGCATTTTTTGAGCTTTTCATGTATACAATGTTGTTGTTATGTGCTGTCAAGTCAGTTCCCACTAGTGACCCTGTGTACAACAAAATGAAACACTGCCCAGTCTTGTGCCATCCTCAAAATCATTGCTAGGTGTAGAATAACAGCAGCAAAAGCAGTCACCTCTTTATTTCAGTGTTAATACAGGTTAAATTTCTTGTTTTTGTTTTTACATTTGATAGAAGACTTAAGACAATGTTCAGTGAAGATGGTAATAATTAGAATCCCTAACTACAGTGAAACCTGCATAAGCCAGAACCTGTGTAAGGCGGAAACCTGTCAGAGAAGGAAAACAAATATTTTCCACTGATAGAGAGTGACAGAAAAGTGGTAAGACTGCACCCTGTCAAAGGCTGAAAATTTGCGAGACCTGGAAAAACAAGGCAATCCCATTGAGTCCTGGCTCTCACAAGTTTCACTATAGTTGCTTTTAATTAAAATAGTTTCAGTTTTTCAATCTTTTGGAAAACATATGCTGTTAATGTTTTGGTAAATAATTTTTTATTTTGTTTTAGTAGTTTTCTTCTGTCTCTGGCATTGAGTTTTTATAAGCGACCCTATAGGACAGGGTAGAACTGCCCCGTAGAGTTTCCAAGGAGCGCCTGGTCAATTCAAACTGCCGACCTTTTGGTTAGCAGCCATAGCACTTAACCACTATGCCACCAGAGTTTCCAAGGAATACCTAGTATATTTTATTAAGAGCTTTTTCAGCACTTACCAAATATGATTTTTTTCTTTTAATTTGTTGATGGAATAGAAACCTAACTTATCAATATATTAGCTAGACTTCTTGATATTAAACCACCCTTGGCTTCATAGAATGAATTTCTATAGACCAAGCACTTCCTATATTCTTTGTTATCCAGTCTTTGACTTAAGGCTCTCCAACCCTGGTCTCTAGACACAGCTTGTCGGACTCAGAGAAAAAAGCCTTATAAGTAATCCACAGGGACTGCCATGCATCTTTTGCCCCCAGGTGCCTATAAGACCTACAGCTCTTTGGGTCTGTAGAATCAGGTAAATTGGAGTTGAAAATGTAGGGACTTTGTGGTCTCCAGGTTTCCAAAATCCTCTTCTGGCCCCTTTTCCTTTTGGTTTTTATTTTTCACCTTTATATTAGCGGCTCTTTCTGTTCCTTTTATTCAATGCTTAGTAGCAACAATATACATCAAAAGTGTTTCCTCTATGAATCCTTTTAATAATGAGCTTAGACAGAATAATGAAATAGCAGCATATTCTGATGTTTCTCTTTTCTTCCATCCTGTCTGCCTTGTGTTTTCTGATACTGATTTGCATTATTTTCTCTAGTGATTTTCAATTTCAGTGATAGGAACCATCTGCCATAAATTACAAGCTTTTATCCAGAATCTAAACTAGTAGCAATCCCTTATAACCAGTACTTACATTTCTGATTTTTTTGTCCAAGGGAAGCCCTGGAGACCTAGGACATTTTACTTACCTTGAAAAATAATTTAAATATCTAATTACAATTTCATTATTAAGCAGATTGTTTTGTTTGTTTTTAATTTAAAATCCCTGTCTGGTAGATTTGGTAATGACCAAGAGTTAATATTTAATTCATAAGAAACTGCCTGTGGATACCGAATAATAAGAGGGTTGATTTAGCAAAAAAGAGCATTGACCATTGAGTTAAGAAATCCAAGTAGTAGTCTCACCTTGTTACTACTTTATGTGAATCTCAGATGAGGTTCTACATTGGGACCATTCATTTTCTCTTTGAAAAGAGGTTGCTCAAGTAAATGGCTTATTTTCCTTTAAGCTGTAATGTTTTGAAAAATCAGAGTATGGTTGAATTCTGCCACCCCAAATAGACCATGATTTAACTGTGTCATAACTGAGTACTCTTTGCTCTCTGGTTCTGCAAGAAAATAGACTGTGAGTGAACTTTAGAACTATATTGTTTGCTTCCATCAGCAGTTGCTGTAGTAGGTTCCTTTAAATTGGATGTTGTATGTAAAAGTAATTTTTAAGTCCCTGCGTCTCATCGCTGAGAAGTAATTTTCCCCTTTAGTGAGTTTCTGTAAGTCCTATCTGTTCAGGGTCTTCTAAAGGTGTCCTGAATTATAAAACCAGAAACATAATTAGGTTTCACCATATTAAAATTGCTGACATTGTATGGATTTTGATGTATAAGTAAACAATTTCATATGCATCAACCTAATAATTATAGGTGAATTGAGCAGTTACCATTAGAAAGATTTTCTAATCTAAAAGAAGAATCACCTGTTGTTTTATTAGTCATTTGTTTGTTTATTCAATCAAAAATAACTTTTGAAAGCCTGCTTTATGCCTACCCTGTGCTAGGCCTAATGGATATGCCCATGAGTAAAACAGGCATGTTCCCTGGTGATGGGGGAAATAGCAATTAATTAAGTAGTGACAGTAAAGTCTCATGACAGTTATAGAAGAGAAAATACATTGCTGCAGATGAAAGGAGGAACTTCGCATCTACAGGGTCAAAAGATTTCTTGTTTAGAAATTATTCCGGGAGGGAAATTGTTGGGGTAGATTAGGGTACAGTATGGCAGGTATGATGTTAGAGTCAGAGGGAATAGCATGTTCCCAAGGGTAAGAAAGAGCTCTTGGCAGTTTAGTGGAGTGTTAAAGGAGATAAAGCCAGAGAGGGAGGCAAGGTGTAGCTCTTGGAAAGCCTCCTAAGCCATATTTAAGATTTTGGGCAGTGGAAAATCACTGAAGCATTCTAAGTAGGCAAGTCATATATTCAGGTTTAGAAAGCAGTATAACCAAGTAGCTTAGACCAAAAACCAAACCCATTACTGTGGAGTCAAATTTCAACTCACAGTGACCCTGTAGGACAAAGTAGAACTGCCCGATAGGGTTTCCAAGGCTGTAAATCTTTTCTGTTTGTTTATTGTTGTAGTTTAAATGAAGTTTCCATTTTAAGTTAGTCTCCCATACAAAAATCTATACATACATTGTTAAGTGACCTAATTGCTCTCCCTGTACTGTGACAGCATACTCCTCCTTTCCACCCCTGATTCCCCATGTCCATTCAACCAGCTCCTAACCCTCTCTGTCTTCCCATCTCACCTCTGGACAGAAGCTACCCGTTTAGTCTCATGTATCTACTTGAGCTAAGAGGCACACTCCTCACGAGTATCACTTTATGTCCCACAGTCCAGTCCAATCCCTGTCTGAAGAGATGGCCTCAGAAATTGTTTCAGTTCTGGGCTGATAGAGAATCTGGGGGCTGTGCTTTCCAGGGTTCCTCCAGTCTCGTTAAGACCATTAAGTCTGGTCTTCTTACTAGAATTTGAGTTCTGCAGCCCACCTTTCTCCTGCTCCATCTGGGACTCTCTGCTGTGTTCCCTGTCAGGGTGGTCATTGGTTGTGGTAGCCAGGCACCATCTAGTTTTTCTGGTCTCAGGCTGATGAAGTCTCTGGTTTATGTGGCCCTTTCTGTTTCTTGGGCTACTACTTTCCTTGTGTCTTTGGTGTTCTTCATTCTCCTTTACTCCAGGTGGTTGGGACAAACTTATGCATCTTAGATGGCCGTTTGCAAGCTTCTAAGACCCGAGACACCACTCACCAGAGTAGGATGCAGAACATTTTCTTAATAAACTTTGTTATGCCAGTTGACCTAGATGTCCCCGGAAACCAAGGCTGTAAATCTTTACGGAAGCAGACTACCACATCTTTCTCCCATGGAGCAGCTGGTAGGTTAGAACCACTGATCTTTCGGTTCGCAGCTGAGCGCTTAACCGCTGCACCACCAGGGCTCCTAACGTGACCATGTAAAGTCAGATTGTCTTGATCCAAATCTCAGCTTTACTGCATTTTAACTATTTACATTGGGCAGTTTAACATACTTAGGCTTCAGTTTCTTTATTTATAAAAAGGGGTAATAATAGTTTTTTATTTGTAGAGTTGTTAGAATTATCTTAAATAATGCATGAAAACACTTAGTTCAGTTCATAGTCCATAGTAAATGTAAATAACTGTTTAGCAATTGTTATTATTTGTATTATCATTATTAGTTCTAGAAAGATCACTCTGGTTACTTGGATTAGAATGGAGTATGATTAGTGTAATTACAGGGAAACACGTTAGTTATTCAGACAAAAAATAACAGTGACTTGAGTTTGGATAGAAGCAGAGGGAGTAGAGAAAGAGATTCTATTTGAAAGAAATTTCAGAGGTAGAATCCTTGGCCTTGGTGATTGAATGAATGTGGGAGATGAGGGAGAGGGAGGAGTAAAAGATGAGTCAAAGTACCTCAGATCATTTTTGCATGTGGTTGATATAAATAAACCACATCAGATGTACTAAAAAAAAGAAATTAAGCTCATTTTCAGCAAATAATAATTGACCGATAATGCCCAGAAGCTAACCATATGAATTTGAAGACCTGAGATTGATTCTTTCTTGTTTGTAGTCGTTAAGCCTCTGAATAGGTTGGAGAAGAATAAATATAATTTGAACAGTCTTTTCCTTTCTTTTTCTGACTGTTTCCCTTTTAGTTCTGTTGTGTTGTTACTATTTTAACCTTTTAGTATCGGGTTGAACCATATGAAAGTTACCATTTTTGTAGGTCAGAAATGGTTAAATATTGGCAATTTCATATGGTTCATCCTACTCTTATTCTTTCAGAACTTTTAACAGGGATTATTTTCAGTTAGATTGAGTACCAAAGACTGAAGGAATATTGCTATGATAACATAAGAACAAAAGGAATTGAGCCCCGTGAAGTAGTGAATTAAACCTCATGTCCTAGGTTCTTGCCATATCATATGGCTCTGGGAGGACATCTTGCAGCCAGATTTTCTTTGTTAGCTTTACCAAAAGGGCATGTTATGTATTATTTTGGCTTTTTTTTTTTAACCCGATTATAAAAGTAGTACATAGAAATTGGTAAATTGAAAATATAGAAAGTCACAAGGAAAAAAATTAAAAAAATCACTTACAATCCTATCGTCAATGATAAGTAGAGTTCGTTTTTAATGTATTTTCTTTTAGTGACGTATGTAAATATATATACTTAACGAAATTGTTTTTTCCCCAAAAAGAATATATAAGTGCATTATTTTTAAGAGGATATGTGTATATAGATTTTTGTGAGGATACAAATTTATTACCTCCCTCCATGTCATTAATAATTTGTTTCTCCTGAAGAAGGTATTTTTCTTTAGTTTAAAACATTAACTCTTGACTGATTTGACAAAGTGTGGCTATCAGGCTTTCTCACTGTTAAGTTTACTATGTGAATATTTTGACCATAGCACCTAAGTGGTTTTACTAAAACAAAAATGAAGTTGAAAAGAACTACTATTATTCTAATGATAGTAATGCAATAGCTTGTTTTTTTATTACATTTTTATTTCTTTCAAGTTATCAGCCAATGTAAATATCTGTTTTTATTAGTGTAGCTGTCTAATTTTATATATGAGAAACCTGAGATTTAGAGAAGATAAGTTACATGCCCAAATTCACAAGTAATTAGTGAAAAAACCTGAACTCCTGGCTGTGACAAATGTTTTTTTCATTTACTGGAATATGGTAACTCACAAATCATTTCTTTATTCATTCAGTATTGATTAAGCACTCAGTGAGTATTCAAAAATAAAGTCTATGACAAGCATGTAGAATAGTGCATACCCTGGTTTGGCTTGAGGATAAGGTGTTTGGAGGGCAGAGTGGAATAATGAGATCAAACTGGAAAGACAATAAGGAGCCATTGACTCTTCTGAATAGTGTAGAACCAAAATGAAACGTGTGTTCTTGGATATTTAATCAGGTAAAAATGAATAGTTCAGAGAAATAAAAGCAACTAGAAGTCCAGATAATAGTTAGTGATGGCCTACAGAAAAGTTTTAAAAACTGAAAGGAGGAAATGAATTTGAAAGCTACTGTAGAAAGATTGCAAGAACTTGGTGACTTAAGAGGGAGAGGGTTGTCAAGATGATTCCTAAGTTTCACACCTGAGTGCCTGGAAAAATATTGAAGAAAAAAAATGAATCAAGAGAGGCTTACTTGGTAAGAAAAATATATTTGAGTTTGAAATCACAGGACATCCAGGTGAGAATGTGTGACCTACAGGCAAATTGTAGATGGAAAAGAGAGCTCAGAAGTAAAGCTAGGGGTGGAGACCTAGCCAGAAAAATTAGAGGGAACAGTTGATGCCGGATTATCATTCCCTCTTTCCTGCCTTTCACTGCCTTGCATATGTGTAGTCTCAGTGTATTTGAGGAGTACATGATAGCAGTGTGCCCAAGTAGCTGTTGTGTGCCTTTCAGCTGGGCAGTCAAAAGAAATGAGGGGCACTTTAGGATTCAGAAGAGCCCAGCCTCAAGCAGTGCAGCATGATTATGGATTGGTGGGGAAACACTGCAGCAGTTAGAAATTCTAGCTGTTTAGAAAGGCTATTTTAATTTTATGTGAGTAAAGTTATATACTCCCTATGTGCTTGCTAGGTATTAGTAAGTCTTTTGTTTATATTGTCTCGTTTAATTCTCAACAACCCTATGGAATAGGGAGTATTATCCTAATTTTATAGATGATGAAGCAGGCTAAGAGAGGCTAAGTAATACTAGAGGAAGGATTTAAACCCAAATTGGTGTCCCTTCAGTGCTCTTGGTCTTCTTACTATACCTCACTTTGCCATATTTTCCAGTGAGACCTGTCAAATAGAGCCATCAGACTTCTGCTGAAATAGGTTTTTGAGTTCCTTGCCTTCGTGTGATAAACACAGTGCTTCAGATCTTAAAATGTAATTCTTTGATTCTGACTGTGGGTGGCCACCTGCCTGCAGTGAGAAAGCATGTGTATAAAACAAATGAAAATTGGATAACATAATACATGTCTCCACCCAGATGTACAGACCTCCTGGAATGTTGACAGATGCCGGCGTTTGTTTATTTTCTTTCACTCTCTTGTTGTTGTGTTCCACTGAAGCTTTATTTGGGATGAGTTGAGAGTTCAAAGGTATCTGGAGTAAAGGATACTAAAAATACACATTTTCCACAGCACCCCGCTCCCAGTTAGCTGAAAAGTGTCATCATTTATGACACTGCTAGAAGAGCCACAATATAAACCCAGTTTGCTTTGTTTGAAATAGACGCAAACAAGATCGTGTATTCTAAGAGACAAAGGCTAATTTGTACTGTGAGACTTCCAAGCCGGGATAGAAATGGCTACATTTACTTTTCCATCTTTTGTTTGTACATTTACGTACTGCTTCTCAGCAAAACTGGAAGCAAGAAATTGTTTCTCAAAACTATAAGACAGTGCCAAATACAAGAAAAATGTGATTCCCCTTCTTGGTGCATGCTAGTTTTGTAATATTCAGAATGGGTGAGATTGTCTTTATTTTTCTCTCGAAAAGCTAATTTTTTAAGTTTGATTGTGTTTTGATTGTCTCTCTTGATATTGGTCAATATCCAGTGAATCATGAGAGGGAAAGTTAAGGCCGAATGTTTAGCCTTCTAGTTAAAACTTGTTGTGTAGCTGAATTCCTCAGTTGCCATACCCTTTTCATTGTTTAATATTGTTCTCTGTTTCTTGGGAAAATCCCACAATAGGAATTTCCCTTCGTCATTACCCTTCTGACAGTATGTTTCAGTCTAACTCCTGGCATTGTGTCTTCATTATTACCCCTTCTCCTTGCTAGCAGTCTGAATTCTGCCCATCTGCTAAAAGGGGGTTTCCAGACAGAGGAGGAAACAGCTTTCAAATGCTGCACTGCAGGCTAGGAGCATGTTAAGCCATCCCCCCATTGTGTAGTCTGGAATCTGGGAGCACCTCTCTGATGATGCATTCTAATGAGCTGCTGAAGATGCCAGAGTGTGTGCGCTCACACGTTTTCTTTCCCCTCCCCTTTTCCTTTTCCCAAACCCAGTCTTCTCCCTGTTTCGCCTCCTACTCCTTTATCCCCTCCCTCTGTGTCTCAGTTCTGCAGTAATCTGAGCTGAAGCACATTCCTGCTTTTCAAGGCTTTCTGTTAAGGATGTGTTGTGGCTTTTGTTTGGATTGCAGCATACACAATTACAGGTAACACACTGAAATTGAGCTAAATAGATAAATTTTCTTGTAATGTTTTTAGAGAGGCAAAATATCACATCAGAATCAGTGGAAATAGGTTATGTTGGCTGATTTTATTAATGGTATTTATAGTGTAACGTTTTCAGAAATGTTGAGGTAATGAGAGGAAAAAAAAATTAAACATATTCCTTTTCTCCCCACAAAAGGCTCAAATGAAGGGAATTGGGGTAGATTGATTTGACTGCAGTTGATTTTGTTATATGTTAATCCTGAAAGCTTGCTGTTGCTGTGCCTCCTCCGTAGAGTAAGGACCAGTTATGCGGGGTGCTACTAGAGGTAGCCATGGGTATCTGGTGGGAAGGTTGATAACACCCTGAGCTAGCCAGGTTCTTTGATTAGGGTACTAGATGCAAAGTGTAAAATGCTTTCTCGTTTTCTTCTATCAGCTATTAGAGGAAACTCATTACAACTCCTGCTGAAGCTCCTAATTTTCCTTCCTTCTCTTCTGCCCCTTCCCCCACCCTCACTTGGCCTGAAGACATTGTCCCCAGAGTTTGCCTTTCTCCCCTGGTGCTATGTGTATGGTGAACCTCCCACTATGGCTACATCTGGGACTGGCCAGACAACTGCTGCTGGCTCTTGCTATTCCAAGAAGGATTTAAAGGAGAATTGCACTGCAGGCAATGTACCAAAGCAGCAGCATCGGGAGCGTGGGGACTAAGGCTCCTCTGACATTATTACATATACCCAGAGCTGACCGCAATGACAGCAGCTGCTCCTTCGAACTGCCGGCAGCAGCCAAGTGGCAGCATGAAGTGAGACGTCACTCCTGAGCTGAAGATGAACTTCACCTTGGATGAAAATCAGAGCAGCCACTCCTTTTGCCTCTTGGCATTTGGTTATTTGGAAACTGTCGATTTTTGCCTTTTGGAAGTGCTGATTATTGTCTTTCTAACTGTATTGATTATTTCTGGCAATATCATTGTGATTTTTGTATTTCACTGTGCACCTTTGTTGAACCACCACACTACAAGTTATTTTATACAGACTATGGCATATGCTGACCTTTTGGTTGGAGTAAGCTGCCTAGTCCCTTCTTTATCACTCCTCCGCTACCCTCTTCCAGTAGAGGAGTCCTTGACTTGCCAGGTATTTGGCTTTATAGTATCAGTTTTGAAAAGTGTCTCCATGGCCTCTCTGGCCTGCATCAGCATCGATAGATATATTGCTATCACTAAACCTTTAACCTATAATACCCTGGTTACACCCTGGCGGCTACGCCTGTGTATCTTATTGATTTGGCTATACTCCACCCTGGTCTTCCTGCCTTCCTTTTTCCACTGGGGCAAACCTGGTTATCATGGAGATGTGTTTCAGTGGTGTGCGGAGTTCTGGCACACGGACCCCAACTTCACCCTGTTTATTGTGATGATGTTATATGCGCCAGCAGCCCTCATTGTGTGCTTCACGTATTTCAACATCTTCCGCATATGCCAACAGCACACAAAGGAAATCAGTGAAAGGCAAGCCCGCTTCAGCAGCCAGAGTGCAAAGGCTGGGGAAGTGCAGGCTTGCCCCGATAAGCGCTATGCCATGGTCCTGTTCCGAATCACTAGTGTGTTTTATGTCCTGTGGTTGCCGTATATCATCTACTTCTTGTTGGAGAGCTCCACTGGCTACAGCAACCGCTTTGCATCCTTCTTGACCACCTGGCTGGCTATTAGCAACAGTTTCTGCAACTGTGTCATTTATAGTCTCTCCAACAGCGTCTTCCAAAGGGGATTAAAGCGCCTCTCAGGGGCAGTGTGTACTTCTTGTGCGAGTCATACCACAGCCAAGGACTCTTACACAGTTAGGAGCAAAGGCCCCCCTAATGGATGCCAGGTCTAAAATGGCACAGATACTGGGTCACTGTGTGTGCGTGCATGTGCGTGTCTGTGCGTTTTCCTTTTTATCTCTTTGTATTTCTAGTTTACCAGGAAATCTGGGACGAAATGATTTGACTTCAGCAATACCAAACAAATGATCCATCCAAAATACCTTCTAAGTTTGCAGAAATTATTTTCTAAACAGTATTTTTGAACCAGAAAAATCAAGACCATGAATATAAAAATTCTCTTGGTTTCAGTTTTTGAAATGCCATGGAACTGACTCCCGTTCTCAGATTTAAAATGAATAAAGCCATATCTAACACCTCTCTCCAGCTGACATGACTGAACCTGGGTGTGAAAAGCTTCAACATTTAAAAGAGTCATCCATTTTCTTGACACCTTCTGGGTTCTTTCCAGCTGTTTGGGCTTTATGTGCAGTTGATTTCTTTTAACTAGGGATATTAAAGTACAGTGATGAATTAATACAAATTATTTACCTATATAGTAGGCCTGGTGGCGCAGTGGTTAAGAGATTGGCTGCTAACCAAAAGCTTGGCAATTCGAATCTACCCAGCCACTCCTTGGAAACCCTGTGGGGCAGTTCTCCTCAGTCCTGTAGGGTTGCTATGAGTCAAAATTGACTCGACAGCAATGGATTTGGGGTTTTTTTGTTTTGTTTTGTTTTTTTTGATGCTATATATATGTGCCAAAGTATACTTAACTGTAAGTTTCAGCACTGTTATTTAGAAAGCCAAATGTTTTCTGTTGTATTCCCTTGAGAGAAATCTCAGTAGAGTGAATGTGAACGTTTAAACATTAATTTTAGAATTTTACAATGAACTGTGAAGCAGAAGTGCATTCAAATCGTATAATTTATGAAAAACTGAGCTAGTCTTTGTGCCCTACTTCACAGAGATCTAAAGAAATGTGTGCATAAAAGTGATTGTGTTGTGTTGCAGTATTTGTGCCTTTGCTTTTGTGTATGTGTGTATTGAGAATATTTGGATTGAGTTGGATTTCTCTTTTACAACAAAATGTGTTTTAATAAGCGAAAAAATAATTAAATGATTGGCTGATAGCTGCCATTTTTATAATGGTAAAAAAGTATAAAGTGTGTCTTCTCTGTTCTTTTTATACAAAAACTTGACTAATTGGAACATCAGGGAGAAGGATATCATGAGTACCTGAGTCAAAAAAATATCCTATACATTTAACTAGTTCGTTTTTTAAATAGAAGGGAGTAAATTGAGGTGTATTCTTTGTGGTAAAATCAAATCGGTTAACATAGTAACAGCTAATTCTTTTTGAAAAACTTTTTTTTTAAGTTAGTATTAAGGAATCCATATTTGAAGGGGGGAAAAAAGACTTCTGGTTAGTTTAAGTCTCTTTTATTGCTATGGGAAAAAAACAAAAACTTTGGGATACAGTTCTTTCCTTAGGAGCAGTCTTTATTTTTTTAGCCAAACTACTCACCAAATCTGTAGGATTTCTTGTTGTTGTTCTATAGCTTTATTATTGAGAGTGGTGTGTGTTTGTATGTAGTAATGATGTTTTGTTCTTAAAAGTGATTGTCTTTTGAGCAAGAGGTTTATTTTTCGAAAATGAGAAAAGGATTTCCCAGCAGCTCCAGGCATGAGACTATTTCCTCTACTTCTCTACTGGTTTTAATATTTTGGAAATGTTCAGGGTGCTTATTTGATCTCTGCCTTTGGCTAGATGTTGTAATCTGAATGCAACAATGGTGTCCAGTGAGATGGAATATGGAAGAAACCCAAGGGACATGGGTTTCTGAATCCAAGAAAGGACATGGATATTTATAAAACAGGCAGATATGCTTTTAGTTTTCCATAATGATATTAGAGCTCACCCTTATTTTAAATAAAGGGCAGCATTCTTATGATTTTAGATTTTAAACATCAATTTGATTTTAACCTCAAATGTGTATTCTTTAAACTTTTTTATTTTAAATGAATGTTATATAAAACAACCAAACGTCAGATTCTGGGTTTTTTCCAAAAGCTTGCTTACTCTTTGTATTTAGTATTAGAAAATCTGATTCTGAGCTGTTTCAAAGTTTAGAAATCATACTGAAATAACAAGTTGTGTTAGAAATGACTTTTTAAATTGCCGTTTCAAGTGGAAAATCTTTTTACTGGATTCTGAAAAATAATTGTATGCATTTTTCCTTTACTTAAGTGGTAAAGATCTAAAAATCAAAATTTACCTTGTTCATATATAGTCAGATTTGTACAATTTGCTTGTGAAAATTGCTTAGCCAATATGGGAATCTTTTAAGACTAATTTTTATAGAAAACTGATCTTAAATCAGTAGGTTTTACTTTCTTTTTTCCTCCAAAAGGGTTCCATCTATGAGCATGAAAAAAGGGAAAATGTCTGTTTAATTTTCTTGTAATGGCCACTCAAGCTGGTCTTTCAATGACTGGAATGCTTTTATTTATTGATTTTTCTACATTATTTTACTAGGACCAAATTCAGATGTCATTAGAGGCATTTTTCAAAATCATTTTTGATTTTTCATTTTTTCAGATCCCATTAGAGACATTGGAATCTATGAATGTCACAGCCTAAAACTAATGTAGGAACTAAGTAGATACAGTGATTTTTAACAAAAATACATTTTCCCCTCCCCAAACTGATACTTGCTTGACATCATAAATCTTTCCAGTTTATCTTGTCTTCATTGTGCTGTATAAACTCTAAGGTTTCTCTCATGTATCCAGTTCTATTATTTTCACATTCATTGTCTCTATACTGCCTTTTTCTTGTTGTGTGTGTGTTGGAGAATGGAGGAGGCCTGGATCAGTCATAGCGTCTTCAGTGACTTGGGGCAGTTTCTGTGTGATACATTTTAGAGTTTGCATTTTCTTTTTAAGTAACCTTTTCATCTTGGCATATTTAATAAAACATTTGACGTTTGGTTTAAATACCAATTTAAGTAGTTCAGAATGAGAAAAATACATATATTTTTAGACTCAGTTACCTTGGACTTTGGCACGACAGCTCATTTAACTTTATATGGTATGTGACTGAAACCAGAGGAGGCATAAGCTTTTGGTGATTGAGTTGAAATTATTCCATACTAAATTTTGAAGTAAGATTATACTAATTATTGTATTTGTAAGTTAATTGTGTGTTTTTATATAATGATTTCAGTGAAGGTATGTTTTTCCTCTTAGAGGGGAAAAGGTGATTACAAAAGGACAGGGGTTCCATTTTAGTGAAAGAACTGTACCAGAGTGAATATTTGAATTTTTCATGGACCTGTTGACTCTTACCAGAATTCCATTTGGGAAATAGTTTTCTTTAAGCTTGATTGCTGGATAAATTCTTTTTGAGCCTTTTATAAAGGCCGTTCTTTTTTACTTGAATAATGGTCTCAGTGTTTTAAGAATTGAGAAAACTTGAATTTTTGTAGTATAAATGCATTGTTCACCTCTTTGAACTTGAAAATGAAGCAGCAGGGATACAGGCTTCTGGTTAGAGGAGTGGTTTCACTGAGGATTTCCTCAGCTTTTCTGGTTTGATTGAAAATCTGTATGGTGGCTTTGTAGAAAATATTAATTTCACTGACTGTGTTTTTGTATCATAAATTTGGTTAGTAGTTTATTGTCATGCAGGCAGATTTGGGTAGTTCAAGGATGGAGATTAGTGACAGTATGAGATTTTTTTGAAGTCTTCATAAATCATTTTATGTGGTAATTTTTGCATAATATTTTGCCTTTGAGGTTTAAGAAAAACTAAATATGAGTATATATATTGAGTGTACATAGTGTTAACGTATTTAGCAGACCATGATAATACTTCAGATATTTCTGTGGCTGTAAATGAGTCATTTAGCTTTTCTTCAAATTTGGGTAACCAAAGGGCAGGATGATATGATAAAAATGAACTTTGGACTGAGAATAAAAAATCTGGGTTTCTGTTACTAATTAACTAGTTTTGTAAGTTAGGGCAAGCCGATTTTCTAAGTATTTAATTGCTGCTGTAAAAGGAGATAATGATCCCTTCATACGTCTTAGGGTTACTTTGAGTATTGAATTAGATAATGGATGTGAAAGTACTTTGTAAATTGTAAAATCCTGTGGAAATAAAAATGGTTATTGTCATTTGTTCTGTCATGCTTTTACATGTAAGGAAACCATACATTGTGATATGGTGCTCCCCTACCTTAAGATCTTTGTAACGCAATGCTAGATCACTACACCATGCTGCTTAGCAGTCCCAAATTTGAGAAGAGAGGCAAGATAAATCACCACCTTACTAAAATGACAGTAGTTTTAAATTCAGCATATAACTGCTTTCGTTTACTTCCTTTGTTTATCTGCTAACTCTCTGGCAAGGGACATGTCTCTTCATATCTTTTCCCCCAAAATCTAACATAGGACCTGGCTCAGAGTAGAAGTTTTAATAAATTTTACATAATGAATGAATGACCCTTTCTAATTATTACTTCTAGTCATATTATTTCTTTAGTTGAATTTTCTTTTTTTGTTACTTGTCTTTTAGTGTAATTCCTTGTAAGTCTTAGTAGTCTTACAAACCTGAAACTCATTCTTTCCCTTTAAAGTGGTTATATATCACTACTCTTACCTTTTATCATAAAAGATAGTTATTTTATGACTTAATACTCAAAGGGCAGCCTTACTCCTTTATTCTTAAAGTCAGGGAAAGCGACTCAGCTTGGCTTGCATGTTTAAAAAAAGCCAAAACACTGATGCTGTCGAGTCAATTCCAACTCACACCAACCCTGTAGGACAGAGTAGAACTGCCCCAAAGAGTTTCCAAGGAGTGGCTGGTGGATTTGAACTGCCGACCTTTTTGATTAGCAGCCAACTCTTAACCACTGCACTACCAGGGCTTGGGTTGCATATAGTGCCTACAGACTGCCTGGTTGGAAAAGCAAGATATTAAGAAAATACCTATAAAGATATTAAGATATTAAGAAAATACCTATAAAAATTAACTATCAGTCAGATAATTAAAGACATTAAGTATATAAAATGTCAGATCATGTTTAGTAAAGAAGGTGAAGAGAGGGGTATTTGAGCTAGAAAGGACCTTAGAAATCGTTTGGTCTGAATCTGTTGTTTTGCAGACAGGGAACTGGCTCAACATCTATTTATAATAAAACCCAGACTTCCTGCTTCCTAATCTACTGCCCTTTTCTAGTATACCATGCTGCTTTTGCAGAGAAGTTAGAATTCTAGGCATAGGAAGCATATGAATTACAATATAATTGTTAATTGAGGCTTATTCTATTTAAGTAGGATTTTATAAATATTGTCTTATTAATCCTTAGCACTATAGGAGCTAGTCACTATCATTAACTCCATTATTTGGATGAGGAAACTGAGGATTAGAGTTACCAGAGTCACCTAGCTAATAAGTGGAAAATCTGGGATTCAAACCTAGGCCTTTCTGACTTCACAGCTTACATTTTTAATTCATTTAATTCTCACAGCAATCTATTAGGTAAGTATTTTTATTATCCCTATATTACAGATGAGGAAATTTTGGTTTAGAGAAGTTTAGAAACTTTTCCAGG